TTTAATTTGGCAGAGAGGAAGAAACAACAACCAAGTTTTATTCCGAAGTTCCGGAGATGATTTAAGGAAAAGAAAAAAGGAACAAGCAAGCCACAGATTTATTCCAGCACTGAGTCTTTCAAGAATGTTATTCAGATACTTCAGCTGTTTGGTAGAAAGCGTCTTCTCATGTCACGTTTACATACTTCAAGAGCGATGACTTCCAGACATTTCATATCCCCAAAGAATCCTTCAGACAAATTTCCCGCCTTAGAAAATACCAAGAGTATAAATCATGGATATTAATTCCATCAGGCTGTACATTGAACAAAAACAAGAAGTGGAGGGGAAAAAAAACAAACACATCACCATTGAGAAAGCTGCAGTTAGTTGTTGGGCTAAGTTCTAAAGTTGCCTTTGAAACTCCAACAGCTCAGGTAGGAAAGCAAGCAAGATGGCAACTCCATGGTTTGTTTGACGAGCATTTTTTGATATAAAGAAAAGTGTAGCTCTCTGAGCTTGGTGGTTTTCTTGTAGACGTCTGTAGAGATTCTCAGTCCTCCAGGTTATGCTTGTCCCAAAAGTGCTTTTACAGAAGGCAACTTTGGACTTTCTATTTTTCCTCTGAAGACGTTTCTCTTCTTGTCAAAGAAGCTTCTTCAGTTCTGACAGGATAGTGGGGAATGGAAGGATTTATAGTCCTTGCAGACAGCTGGTCATTTGCATCCTTTTAGAGGGTCGTTGAGGCCACTTGGAGGTTTATCTGTGTCCTCAGGGTCACCTGAGTAGGGTTCCTGGTTCTTGTAGTCTGCAATTTTTTTTCCTCTGGAAATCCATTCCTACTCCCACACCATTCAAAGGGTGTTCATCCCAAATTGTATAGTTAAAAGTCTTGCAGGCCTGTCTTGCAGACGTTTCATGACCCAACTAGGTAATGTCATCAGTGCCCGAAGGAAGGGGTTTGCTCTCTGTTTATATTAGAAGTTGCTTACCCTATCGGTCAAGGAACCACCAACAATCAAAAAGTCCAATGTGGGAATTTAGGTCTCTTGGAGCAAAGAGAAATTGAATTAAGCTCTGTGGAATTGCAGTGAGAAGACAGGCAGGCATGGAGAGAGACATAGAAATAGAAAGAGCCAGAGAGAAGATTCCATCCCGTTATATACTAGTTCCTTCCTTAGAAATTCGAATGTTAATATCAATTAATCAGAATAGAGCTGGAAGGGACCTTGGAGGTCTTCTAGCCCACCCCCCTGCTTCAGCAGGAGACCATATACCATTTCATACAAGTGGCTGTCCAGTCTCTTCTTCAAAACCTCCAGTGATGGAGTACCCACAACTTCTAGTGGCAAGCTGTTCCACTGGTTAATTATCCTCGCTGTTAGGAAGTTTCTCCTTAATTCCAGGTTCCTTCTCTCCTTGGTTAGTTTCCATCCACTGTTTCTTGTCTTGCCTTCTGATGCTTTGGAGAATAAATTGACCCTCCCTTTTCTTTGTGGCAGCCCTTCAAATACTGAAAGACTGCTATCATGTCACCCCTAGTCCTTCTTTTCTCTAGACTGGCCATACCCAAATCCTGAAATGGTTCTTCATATATTTTTGTCTCCAGGCCTTTAATCGTCTTAGTTGCATTTTTTTGCACTTTTTCCAAAGTCTCAACATCTTTTTTTGCGATGTGATGACCAAAACTGTTTGCAGTATTTATCATTTATGTATATATTATTTAAATATCTGTCTGTCTGTCTGTCTATCTATCTATCTATCTATCCATCCATCCATTATCTATCTATCTATCTATCTGTCTGTCTGTCTGTCTGTCTGTCTGTCTATCTATCTATCATCTATCTACTATCTATCCATCCATCTGTCTGTCTGTCTGTCTATCCATCCATCCATCTATCATCTATTTATCTATCTATCTATCATCTATCTATCATCTATCTATCTATCATCTATCCATTATCTATCTATCCATCCATCTATCATCTATCTATCTATCTATCTATCTATCTATCTATCTATCTATCTATCTATCTATCTATC